GCTCGGGAAGAATGTCTCCAAAGAAGTGTGTTTTTGGTTGTAAGGGAAAGATAACTTTGTTCAGCTTCCTAAAGAATCCAGCGTTATGTAAACAGTGGATACAGTTTGTTTTTACGGGGCAGCAACGGAGTTTCACAAGTGTGTTTGTTGATGAACGTTTTATAAACCAGGCCCAGTTCGACGCTGGATTTGCACATCGTTTGATACTGAAAGATGGAGCGGTCCCAGTTATAAAAGATCTCAATCATGATCTGGAACTGCAGACGGTAAGTGAAACGGCATCAAAAATGTCTGATTTGTTGGCATTCGGCGCCCAAGTGCTCATCACTCTTTAGCTCCGCCCACAGTGCACCTCCAGGAGCTCGACTTTTTCCGGAGAGAAACGTAAAGCTGTATCTTTCTTTTATAAATAGGATAAAACTAAAGACTTTTTGGAGATATGAAGGATGCAGTACTACTCTATAGGTACTCGATTAATATGAGATTGGGTGAAACTGTGTGTGTTATGCCCCCTTTAATAACTTCATAGTTAGAACTTCATAAAAAATTCCCACCTAATTCACAACTTGCATGTTAGAACATGAATTTGTTCTTAACCTTGTTTTAATGTTAATGAATTTGGAGCATTCTATATAAGCGACCAATTGCCCAAGGTTAGTAATTTGCATAAAACACACCCATAACATCTCCATATAAGAGAATGTTTTGCACAGACTTTCGTCACTCTAAGCAAACTTACGAAGCTCTCCAAAGAAATGCTCGTCTGAGAGCACAGAGCAAGATCTTTGAGCATATATGAAATATATGACGAAACAGCTGTACCAAATTCTCTTAATACTTTTATGAGGTCACCTAGAGTATAGGATTTTTGCGAACACGTGGTAGTTGTTTCTGCAAATGAAGAACTTAATAGTTCTCGATGAATCATGATTTGTTTGTGAAAATGTTCGTATGCAGATTTCATGCACAAATTAATGGGTACGCATGACTAGTGAATGAGACCCACTAACCACATTTAATTGTCACTGTTTCAGCATCTTATTTCATTGACACAAAGTGAATAAGGTACTCATGCAGCAAAATCTTAGTACATGGGAAAACAAGTCAGTAAAATTGTTCAGTTAAAACATTGAGAGAAGGCTCGTTGCCCAAGAACATTACTTCGACTGGTTTAATTTAGCACCTGAGAACACAACACCCTGAACATAGTACAGATTTCAATTTCCCCCAATTTTTTTTCAGTAAAATTATTTACTGAAATGTTTTTCGGTTTAATTCCATTTTAAAAAATTCATGTTGGTGCCTCGCTAATTGACCACCTCAGCTCCATTCACCAGCTCATGGTATGCTAACTCCTGCGCAACGGCTCTGTTGTCAGATCTAGTTTTGAAGCACAAAGTGTCTGCTTTGGGAGACAGAGTAAGAAAACTACAGTGCAGTAGATTGATAAAAAGCACAGTCTTGCTAAAGAGACAGAAATGCCTGGAAGACTTCCTCTCTGTCTGACACAGAGTGTTGTCTCCTAAAATATAATTTATGGTATGATGAGACACATCAGGACCACAAATTCTTAAGTGCACAGGTAAAACTCCAAAACGATGCCCTATATAAAACGGTGTAATATGCGTGTTTGATTTTAACACACGGTTAACCCAATAAAGAGTTTAAACCAGTGGTGACATTGGTTTATTGAAGCACCAGATGAGCCAATCTCTTCTGCTGCATTCTTACAGTCAGCCATTACCTTCCTGTTCTCCCCTCCGGACAAAAGCACAACACACCACACGGGAGCCCAACAGTCAGTCTATAACGTGACTGAATCGCTCTGAGTGTGTGTGTGTGTGATTGTGTGTGTTCCCATGCGAAGCGCACACATGCACTGCAGGGTCATGCGTGCTCAAGTGCAGATTTGATTGTGTGTACACATAAGACTCTGCCGCACTCTGGACATGTGTCACATACTACAGATCTAAATGATCATGCGTGTGTTTGCTCGTCTTTATTAGTTAGGCACGCTTGGGCGGACCCTTCATGGCCAGAGGGCAGAGAGAGGCTCTCACCCCTCCCACACGCACACACACGGGGAGTGTCTGGACAGTGAATGTGCAGGACTCTAAGCAGGCTATTGTTTGTGCTGGAACCTCTTTATCTGACTGATGCATTTGTATTCTGCTCGTAGCTTCAGTCTAAAGGTAGAACATCATCAGGTGCTGCCGCTTGCCCAGTATTAATTCTTTGGACCCGATATATAGTGAGAGTAAACCTTTAATTATATATACACAGTAAAAACTTTTAAAGGTATATACACATGTACATTTGCAGATGGATGGGGGCCTGGGGGAAAAAATTGGGTTTTCATTTGAGTAATCCTCCTGATATTAATATTTTTTACATTGCAATTTTGAGCAGTGTAGAAATGTATTTGTGCAGTGCTTCTCAATTCACAAACGAAGGACTCCGAGCCGGTTCTCTTTTTGTGAATGAAAAGCATACATTGTGACCAGTGGAGCGCGATTCCTGAAACAAATGACTCTTACGGACCAGTTCTTTTAATTAAGTTAAAAAAAGGATTCGTTAGGAGTTTGAATCGGGAGGGAGGGTCTTAAACACTGCTCTGTAAAATTTACAGCAAAAGTAAAGTGAGACTTTCTTATGGAACAAAATGGACATTATAAAATGAAATTTATCCAAATGAACTGGCACAATTTGGAAGCTTTTCTAGATTAAGAGCTTGTATTGTAAATGAATTCAAGTAAATTCCTAATCTAACTTAGATTATTGGAATATTGACAATTGGAATCTAATTGATTCAAGAGCTTGTCAATACGAATCAAATTTCAGATTGAATTGGAATTTAAAGGGGTCCTATTATGCTCTTTTACAAAGTCTTGATTTTGTTTTGGGGGTGTACTAGAACAGGCTCTCATACTTGGTTGTTCGAAAAACACATTATTTTTCACATATTTTACATTACAACACCTCTCTCCCAGTCTGGCATGAACGGCTCGAATAGTTCCTGTATCAAATGAAAGCCCGCCTTCTGAAATACGAAATGTGCTGTGATTGGTTAGCTGGGCCAGTGTGTGCTGTGATTGGCAGCACTCGGCGCCTGGTCGGGAAATGTCACGCCCCTTACCATAGCCATCTGCGAGCTTCAGTGTAAATATTGCGTCAAAATCAAATCAATTTGAGCGCGATTTAAACCCGGATGATTGTAACCACTCTAAGTTCGTCTGCCTTGGGAAAGCTAGCGTGTCTCCGACATAGTGATAACACTCGTTGCCTTCTCTAGTGCCGCTCAACCAGGTCTCGTCCCATTCGTCGATATTTGTGATATCACAAATCCCGGAAAATATGCATTGTAGTCCAAACGAGTCGTTTGTTGTAGGTTTGTTGTAGTTTTTGAAAAGTGATTTCTGTTTAATAAAATATCCAAAGTGGACTTTGAGCTTTGTAACGTTGCAGATCTTTTTTATTACTCAAACAGCAACATTACAGACTAACTAAAGTTGAAAAAGTGAAAAAGCATAATAGGACCCC